ACACACACACACCACACACAGATATATGCTTACCGACATTCAGAAGACTTGATTTCGTATGAAGGCAACATCGCATGTGGGTGGATCTCCGTGTAAAATGATGATTTATTTTGCTTAGTCATACTACAGATATTACTGGAAGACCCGTTCTGCTTGGTAATAATATACGATACAAAATGTCTGCTGTTACCGAATAGCTGTCATAGTAACTTTCTACGATGGACCCCACCAGTTTTATCAACGGAACAGACATAAATGGTACGACACCTAATTTATAACTATAACACGAAAAAGTAGACTAGATGAGATCGAATGCGCATATCGCCAGTTTTTGATAGTAGTATTTCTAAACTGTTGCCTTAGTTACACTGCAGTAGCACTGTATAATATTATGATCGAGAGCATGTAAACCATGCTTGCTCATTCGTTATATATTTGCTTTAATTGCTTTGCTTATAATTGCTCTATGTGCGCAGCATTTCACATTAATCGCTTGACCTACCACTATTTTATTATTATTATTATTATTATTATTATTATTATTATTATTATTATTATTATTATTATTATTATTAATAGTGAACATGTACTGAACAGTCATGCATTTACGTGTTACTGTTATATATTATCACTATTTATATATATATATATATATATATAATTATATATAATATATTTATATATATATATATATATATATATATATATAAATAATAAATATTAAATATATATAAATATTTGGTAGCGATATAAATAATAAATATTAAATATATATAAATATTTGGTACGATAAATATACATCAATTATTAAATATATATAAATATATATATATATATATACAATATTCCTTACTACTATGCATTATTTCTGCCGTGTTTTTTCGCCGGTAGAGGAGAATCAACAGCTTCAGCGGGTGAGCAAGCTGATTATAGCCAGCATCGTGCTGCTAAACCTTCTCTCTCTCGGCTGCGCGCTCACATGGCAGGAGGTGAGGCAGCAGCTACGGCACCCCTACGCACTTATCGCAGGGATGCTCTGTCAATTCGTTCTTCTTCCGCTGTGCATGTTTGCTCTGGCCTGCGCATTGCGGGTAGGTGTTGATACTTATTGTAACTATCATCAATTTCAGTAATATACTGCCTGATGATATCTTGTTTGCTAATTTTATTTTAATTGTAACGTTGTTAAGACTAGTTTTGCAATAAACCTATTATCTATTTATCTATCTATCTATCTATACGTAAAGATATTGTTCATATTAGCTAGTGTAGAGGCAAACCTTTAGTTGTATATAGGCTAACTGAGTTATCTGAGCGATACGTTCGGGTCTGTGACACAGGGTAAGAGTGGTACGACTAGCCAGTATGGACTCAAACTTTGAGTTCTTTGTGAGAGACGCCCACGCATTGGTAACACAGGGTATAACAGTAGTGACCGAGTTATCGGACATATTTGTAGAGCCGATAGCTGGCTGCAAAGGATGCCTTTGGCATTTAACGCGAAGGCGCTTGCATAGCAACTATACATTCTGCGCTCTCTATACCTACAATAGGGTACGCATAGAACGGCAATTATAACCTTAACAAATTCTTCAATCTTTAAAATATTCGTTATTCGTGAGAAAATGCCGTATAGGACGCAAATATAGATACAGCACGCATTTGATAAACATGGCCTTCTAATAATAGTTTTCTGTTACATGCGATGTTACGTGTAAATTTATGTTATGGAGAATAACTATGATTTAATAATATATAATAATAATAGTAATGATGATTGATGACTACATTTTCTATTGTCCCAGCTGCAAGATTCCAGAGCGATGGGTATGTTAGTGATGGCCACCTCACCAGGTGGCGCTCTTTCAAATGTGTTCACGCACTCGAGCGATGGAGATGTCCAGTTAAGGTACAAAATAGAGGATGATATCATAAAAATAATAATAAGAAGAAGAAGAAGAATAGTCATAATAATAAAAAACAAAAAAGTGAACATTAATATTAATAATTGCAATGTCAATATATTTTTATTTTTTATTATTATGTTGTTTAACAAAATATTATAAATACAGCGATCGATCGACTGACAAGGGTTCGTGTGTATAAGCGTGATTGTACGTGTGCGGGTGCAAGTGCGTGTGCCCGAGTGTGTGCGTGTACGTGTGCGGGTGCAAGTGCGTGTAACAGTGTTTGTGTGCTGGTACTTGTGAGTGTGGGCGCGTGTGTGGCCTGTAGCCGGTTGCGTGTACGTGTGTGTACGTGTATATACGTGTGTGGATGCGCGGGTGTGCGTGTACTCGCGTCTGTTGGGTGTACGTGTGCATGTGCGGGTGTGCGTGTGGGTGTGTCTGTGTTTAAATTCAGATTAACATCGTTTTACTGATGCTCCTTACGTTGTCCTGCGCTAATGTGCTAATGACGGACTGTACAAGGTACGTGCATGAATCCGGTTATACGATACTCTTCCACGGTTCATATCTATATATATATATATATATATAT